GCGCTCGCCCCCAACAGTGCCCGAGCACGCGCGCGGGTTCGTGATGGCTGCTTGCTCTATCAGTGAGTGCGCGAGTGCGCGCACGTGGATTCATGATCACTGCGCGCTTGTTCAGATTGCGCGAGGGCGCGCTAATGCGCGGAGCTTCCCCGTTGTTCCAATGTGCCACGCGCAGGAGTGCAATGGCGCGCGAGGTTCTTCTCGCCGCTCAGGCTCCCCCTACACGCGGGCGCACGGTGACAACCGGGCTTCTCCCCCGCCCCGAAATCCCTTGGGCAGGCGCACGCGTAGCTGCTCGCTTCCCCCTAACACGCTAACAGTGCCCAAGTGTGCGCATGCTGATCCGTGATGACTGCGCGCTCGATCAAACTGCGCGAGTGTGCGCGCAGATTTGTGCTGGCTGCGCGAGTGTGTGCGCGCAGATTCGTGCTGGCTGCGCGCTCGATCAGACTGCGCGAGTGTGCGCGCGCTGATTCGTGATGGCGGCGAGTTCGGGCAGACAGTGCGCGAGTGTGCGCACGCGGATTGGTGATGGTCGCACGCTCGATCAGACAGCGCGCGAGAGCGCGCGAGGATTAGTGATGGCGGCGCGTTCGATCAGACAGCGTGCGGGAGTGCGCGCAGATTCGTGATGGCTGCGCACCGACAGCACACGAGTGGGCCTTCCCCCACGTGTGCGCTGAGGTCCGCTGTCTCCCCCACTCGTATTCCTCGTCTGCACAGCTCACATACGTGGTCCCCCGTGCGAGTCTCCGAACGAGCTCCGTTGCTTACCTGGACGAGTGTGTAAGCGCTCTCTTGTGCGTGTTGGTCCGTTCGCCGTCTTCCTCGTGCGCCTCCGCTGGTGCATCCCAGAAGTGTCATGCGCGCCTGGCCCAGCGTGCGCGAAGTTCCGTGCGTCTCTCTCTCCATGTGAGAAGTGTCCCATTCCTGGGCCCAGTTGGGCTTAAGTACTCCGTCGGGCCCTTCCCACGGTGTGAGCCTCGGCCTCTTGTGCACCGAGGCCGCCGAACACTTGCAGTGCCTTGGTACCGGGGTTGTGCCCGGGCCTGATTGGGCCCCTGAAAAGTCCCAAGTGAAAAGGACCTTCACTTCGGGAACTGGGCTCTTCGCCCTGGTACCGAGCCTACTTCCGGGCCTGTCCCAGGCAGCCCGGGCCTAGGCGGTCCCCACGCAGTACCGGTACCGCCCTTAAAAGGGAAACTCAGCCGGGCCCTCTAAGTGGAGACTGGTCCCGTCACTCATTCGGGCCTAAGCGGACCCCGTGCCCTAGCAGGACCGCTCCCTTGGAAGCAAAATCAACTGGTCCAGTGGCCCCCCTTGTCCGTAGCGGCGGCCCGCCTCATGGTCGGTGAGTCCCGGCCAGGTAAAGTAGCCCCCTTGATCGTAGCGTCGGTCTGCCTCCTGGCGGGTGAGTCCCAGCCAGGCAAAATAATGTCAAGTAAGGATGTCACTGCCCCGGTCTTCGGAGTGTTGTCCCGCCTCATGGTTGGCAAACGTCGGTAGCCCCTTTGGTCGTAGTGTTGGTCTGCCTCACGGTCGGTAAATCCCGGCCAGGTAGAATACTGTCGAGTGAGGATCCCGTTGCGCGCCCTCGCAAAGGAAGTAAAGGGCGGCGTAGTATTGGAGCCGCCCGACAACGTGTCAACAAGCAAGCAGGAGCTTGCTAATATTGGAACCCCCTGGGTGTCACATATGTGACGAACCGATTTTCGCACCGCGCGATTTCCTGCGCGATAGCGATGAGGGGTCCTAAGCTGGGAAGGTTGGGCCAATTACGGGAGATTGGGATGGATGGAAAATTGCATCGGTGTCCTCGCTTCTTCGTCTTTTTCGTCGGGTGGTTCAGGCCCGGGTGAGCCCCGGGACGATCGATTGGTTGAATGACTGTGTGAGTGGCACGTTGTCATACGCGTGGTTAATAAATGTTTACGTCGTTTCTTTTATTTCGGTTTCGGACCTTTTAGGGGCGGACATCGCGAGGGAATTTGCTTCGTTCCTTTTGAGTTTTCCTTTTTGAATTCCTTTTCGAATCTTGTCGAGCCCCGATGACTCTCGAAATTTCGGACTTTCTTTTCGGAGTTTGTGCTTTTTGCTTTTTTCGCATTAGATAGGAATTTAGGAATTTTCTAATTAGGATTTTACTTTGCCGCGCGGCGCTTTTTGCTTACCCGCTGCTTCGTACGGCTGCAACGGAACTCTGATTAGTCGACACCTTTAATCGTGTGTGTAACTGTAATTTTGGGCGGGCGCCATTGTAACTGTATCTTTCTTCTTGTGTTTCGCCTTTCCCGCCCTTCTTCTCTTTCTTTTCGCTGTGTTTTGGTAGTCGCGGTCTGCATGATCGGATCGATGCGTGGAGAGCGGCTACGTCCCCCACGCTGCGATGGGCCATGCAGAACGTAGGCGTTCCTTCTCTAATCTTCCTTCGAAGTCCTTGTAATTTTGTGTTCTTCGCTCATGCATGCACGCTATAAATTTCGGCTGCGCGATTAGTTAGCTCTCTTAACCATCTGTTGGAAACTCCGGGTTGCGCGATCAGAGAGGGTCGGCACACGAGCGAAGTAAGACGTGAGTAGAGCAGGAGTCGGGCGACCCGACGAGCTGGTGCCAAACGCGCGGGGTTGACGGGAGCCACAACGGACAGTGGGCGTGGGCGAACCTAACGGATGCAGGAGGACTAAGCGGGGTGACGACTTCGTGGGTTGGTGCGTGACGACGGACTGTTTGCACCGAAGGGAGAGAGAGAGGAAGAGGGAGCTGAGGTTGATGGACGCGGATTTGCTGTTTCTTTTATCTTTTCTCCCTCCTGTCTCGTGTATATAAATTTTGATTTCGGCTCCGGGCGATCTGCCCGATCTCTGTTTTTCGGAATTTGGACTTGGGTTTTTGCTCACACTTGTCTTTGCGATTTCCACCTCTGATGCACTGTGTATATGTTGCTGAATGAAGGGATGTATGGATGCCATGTTTAGTTGCTTATCCTTCTATCGGATCCTTGCCTTTGCCTTGTTTATTGCATTGATGCACTCGTGCGTAGGATAGGAATTTTGCACAATCGGCAATCCTGTTCTCGTTTTTGTTTGTCTTTTGATTGAGCTATTGTGGTTGTTCCATCTTGCATGCTCAAAACAACACGGAGTGATTAGATGATCGGATGCCGGACTCAGCGAACGCCGCGCGAGGACACGTGTAAACGCGATCCGAGTGCGCCCTTACATGTATCCCCGTGCGTCGATTCGTCAATCCCGAAAGGACCATCGACTACAGAAGCACTGTCCGATTGGACGCGGCCATCCAGGGTCCGCGACGGTGCAGTTGTCCCACACGAACAAGTTTAAGCCGTATTTAATTCGCGTGGCCTACACGTGCTCGCACGGGGTGATCTCAATCGCCACGGACCCGCCCTTAGGCATCACATAACTGTGAGATGATACAATGACACACTTAGAGAGCTTGGAGTCGTTGTTATCCGGACTACTTCACCCCATGGGTAAACGAAGTCCTTCGATAGGGATACCCTTGCATAACCGAGAACCGACTGTGCCCTCGGGAGTTTCACTGCGCCACCACTAGCGACCCCCGGTGCTCTGATTTCCCCTCTCCGGACCATACCTACTACTTCACCCACCCCGGATTTGTCGTTATCTCTACCAGTTTCCCTCTCTTTCGCCTTCTTCTTCCGTATCACCAACTCAGCGTCGTTCCGTGGCCGGCCATAGCCCCACACCTGCCCAATACGCCCTGCGGAAACTGCTGACGACGCGGCGATCAGAGGACCCCGGAATCCCGGAGGCCCAACCCAAACGCGCGACGACCGGCGCCACATGGCAACTCCCGACGGCCTGACTCATCGGAACCCCACCTACCCCGAAGGGACCCTCCCGCAAACCGCCGTCCCCAAAACCAATGGCTCGCCCGGCCTTGAGCGACCCGCGCATACCATCTGCCTTGTGACCAGAGGCGGTCCGCCCTCTCCGCCAAATTGCACTATTGCCCCCAAAAAACCCTGCCACAGGAGATCTCAGTTCTGACCTGGGACTCCACCCCCACTTTCCCAAAAATCCTTGGCACACCCCTTTTCGCACTTCCAGGCCCACATCCTACTCCGATCAGGAAGTCGCGCTGGGTGTGAGGTTGGGCATCACATAGCGCTGCAGTGACACTCACCCAGGCTGAAGAACCACTTCGCCTGCAAGAGTGGTCCCACTGCCTAGCCCTGTGACCGTGTGACGGCATAAGTCACGGGGGCCTGACCAGCAACAACAGCTTGCTTGGTATCTCGCTCAGCGCCTTCCAGGCCTCATCCACTCGTGGCGGTCATCGCATATGAGAGACACACAGGTCAGGTCACACTGAGGCTGTCTTTCTCCTTGCCTTGTTTTGGCGCTGCGGTCCCACCTGCTCTCTACGTGCCGCGGTCCCACCTGCCCTGTACGTGCCGCCCACCTTTCCCACTCGCATCTGTGCGATCTGGCATCAATTATGACTCTGGCATTTTCCTCTTTTACCTGGAACAGACCTGTGCATAATCATTATACTCACTGGCCCCAGGTTAATGCAGAAGTACTACTCGATTTCATTCCCTTAGCTCGAACTCAGATCGGAATTTCAACAGTTCTGGTCCTTCTGGAACTCAGCTTTGAATTTCAAGAGTTCATGAGTGTACCAGCCTACTACCAGGAATCAACTGTCCATCGGCGAAGTGACAGCAACGCCGCGACGGTGCTACGGTAGGTTTTTGCTTGTTTGCACTCTCCACCCATGAGCCTGATGAGCAATACTGGCCAGGTTCATGCTTTCGTAGCAGAAACACACCACCATTGTTGGCATTGTAAGGACATCTGACAGTGGGCAAACTGTCGCCGCTAAATCCTGACAGCGTCAAATTGAACTACCGGTAGGGTGGACAACGGTGGAGCCCAATAAATAACTCCTAGGCGGCAGAGGGAAAGTCACGAATATTAGCCTGATGCGCGCGGGAGTGGGAGATGTTAAGATGTTGTGCAGGAACAATGAAGGACATCTTTGCGAGGGGAGCGCATGGAATTTCGTTGACGGAGGGAACCTTCCCGGGGGTGTCAAGTCGAGACGGTGGGAAATCAAATTGCCAATCTCACAGACGAGGGCGGCTTGGCCATGATGACGAGAGAGGTGATTGGTGTGTGGAAGGAGCTTGTTTAGAAGGTGAAGGGGGATTGGGAGTGTAGGTAGCGTTGCGAGTGGTCACAATCTTTCGAGGTTTCTGGGTGGTCGATCTGTCTGTGCACGATTCTCTGTTGATTTCTGGTGGGCGTCGCGTTTTGACGCGAGAGAATTGCTGAGGAAGGAGAGAAGGGGGTGGGGGTCGGGGTGGTAGTGGCGTCTAGAAGTACTTGTGGTTCACCTGACGTCGACGACAGCTATGGCGTCAGCTATGGGGAGCCCTCCAAGTAGAAGAGGACACTATTGGGTGCTGTTCGGTGCTCTGATTGCCTTTGTCGTCGTTATCCTTGCAGTACAAGTGGAAGCCGTTCGCGTCCGCAGCGCTGCCGTCGGGATCTGGTCGGACTGGGCGGGCCCTGGCAGTCCTCTCAAGAGGGGAGTCGTATCGTATAACAGATTCGGGAGAAGCTTGAGAGAGGGGGAGGAAGAGGAGAAGTGGGACGCCGGCGGTGAGGAGGAGAAGAGTGCAGGAAAGAAGGAGAACCTGGAGAAGCGTTCTGAGGAGGAGGAGGAAGAAGAATGGGGCGACGTCGGCTGCGAGGAGGAGAAGAGGGGAGGGAAGAAATGGGAACCTCGTGAGGTGGAGGAGGAGGAGTGGGGGGAAGTTAGCTGCGAAAAGGAGAAAAGGGAAGGAAAGGAGGAACCTCGTGAGGAGCGGGAGGAGGAGGAGGCAGCCGCCAAGGAGGAGAAGAGGGGAGATACGGAGATACCGCGGAGGGAGGAGGAGGAGGCAGGCAGCGAGGAGAGGAAGAGGGGAGAGAAGGAGAAACCCAAGGGGGAGGAGGAGGGGGAGGGGACGGGCTCAGAGTCCGAGAAGAAGGGAGAGCATACAAAGAAACGGGAGGAAGAGGAGGAGAAGATACGAAAAGAGAGGAAGAAACACAGGGAGGAGGAAGAAGAGGAGGGCGTGTCCGAGGAGGGAAAAGAAAAGAAGACAAAGAGATCACATCACGCTTTCAGTGTTGGAAAAGCTCGTGTTGTCGTCGATACCGAGGGCGGGTCTCTTAAGACATGGCCTGTTGACGTCACAGAGACGCTGCCGAAGAAGAAATGGGGCCTGGGGCTTCTTAGTCTCCATCCGCAGGCGATGAATGTGCCCTTGTATACCGATGCAGATATCGTTTTCTTCGTTCTGGAAGGTACTCTCTCTCTCTCTCTCTCTCTCTCTCTCTCTCTCTCTCTCTCTCTCTCTCTCTCTCTCTCACACACACACACACACACACACACACACACGCACNCACACACACACACACACACACACACACACGCACACACGTACACCCACCCACCCCCAAGATTATAGAACACTTGAGCAGAGTCGTGCATGCTTATACCACAGACACCCGAGCACTTATACGAGCGGGACAATTGTTGTTAGAGATCAGTCACGCGCGAACGCGCTCATGGCCTCGCTCCACGACTCTCGACATCCACAAAAGACACCAATCATGGCGGTGCACAGAAGACAACCATCATGGCGGTTTATCTTTCCATGTTCTACCGGCAGATTCATTTTTATTTCGAGAGTAGTGGAGGGAGGCCCATAGTCACGAACTTTGGCATCACACCGCGGCGTCGTTGACCGTTTGCACACTCTTTGACTTCCCATGCATGCATGAATGCGGGAGCCGTCGCGCGCGACCGATATCGCCGGGGAATCGCGCTTGCCTATAGGGGGATTACCCGTTATTCCACAGCTATTGGCTAATTTGGCCCTTCCACCCGCTCTCGGCCGTTGCCACCAGCCCTCGGAATCATAGAGGCTCTCTCACCATCTAACCGCTACGTTCGGAAGGGCTTTCCTCAGACGTCGAAGAAGAAGGTAAGCAATGGCCAAATTGCTCTTCACACGCAATAGAATAATTCGATTCGAAAAGCAAATTATGGCCAAATTGCTCTTCACGCGTAATGACTTCATTCCTTACAAGCGTGTACGCTGCTCAAGACTCTTGTAAGGCTGAAAGTTATTCTATTGCGTGTGAAGACCATTTTGGTCATTGCGTACCTTCTTTTTTGCGCAAACATAGGTACGCCAATGTGCGTGGCATATTTGCCATGCATGCCTGTGTCCAAGTGCTAATTTGGCTATATAGGTCTAGTTATGCAAACTGGGTTCTTTAGTTCGGGCCCAGGTGGTCCTGCCCTGATAGGCCGAGTATAATCTCCTACCTGTAGTGCGCTCATGGGGGCAACTATGAGGCTTGTGGGGGAATGATTGCTTGATTCGAATGTCGGTCATGGAGGTCGGTGTATATGAAATATCTCAAGGATTGTCCAGGAGCTCAAGTCGCTTGCAATAGTAGTTCCTGGCTTGTTTTTTAACCGATTGCAGATGGATTTTCTGTTTTGTGTGTTCTCCGGATGCATTCTCCCCCCCCCCCCCYCCCCTTTTTTGTTTCGTTCTCGCGCCCCCCCCCCCCCAACCACCTCTTTCTTTTTTGTTCTCTTCGGATGCATTTTTTCAGGATGGTGAACGAGAGCAGATGGATTTTGCGTTTTTCCCTTTCTTTTTGGTTGCATTCGGATGTGCTTGGCAGGATGGTGATAACCCTGCTCATAACTAACAGAAATTAATATTAATATTGTGTAAGAGGGAAGAGTTCTAAAACATTACGGTAAGACCTTTGAATTCATTTCCCCCAACATGGGGCAACCAGTGCCGCAGGCCCAAAACGACGTATCGTGCCATTTTGGCAGCCTGACTGGGCCGGTAATGCCCGCTGCGGGGATCTCTGTTTTTTTTTTTGGTGGGGAAGGGATCGTTACTTTTCCCCCTTTTTCTGTACTTCATGCACTTGCTGCGTAGTGGGAGAGGCTCATGGTGGTCACAGCCTCACAGCTATAGCTAGTTCTCTATGCGGGGGGGAATTCCATCTATGACTTTCCCGCTCTTTTGTTTTCCATCCTTTGTGCACGTGGTGAGTTGTGCGCGAGGCCTCATGGTGGTCACAGCTGTAGGTAACTCGTCGCAGCGGTCAAAGCTACGATGGCAATGGTCGAAGAAACGTCAAGTAACGAAGCTGCTCCCTTCCTCCGTTTAAGGTCAAGCTGCATAACGAGTTAGGGCTGCAGGGACGTTGCCGGAAAGTCAAAACGACGATCATATTGTGGAGGATGTGGTCAATGACGGTAGTTCTCAACTGTTGGTGTCGTGATTAATACTGTATGTGGTAATTGCTGATTACCGAATGCGATAAGGACACGTGCTCTTATTGACTTGTTTCATACAGTAGCACAGAGTCGCACAACATATTAAATCACCCCTTGGGCATTGAGCTTTGACCTTCCTGGTCGCAATTTCGGCATTTTCTGAGCCCATACCGTCAGGGATTAAGCGGGTTCCTGCCAGTAGCACCTGGCGATTTCGCTTCAGAAAACGCCGAAATTGCGGCCAGGATCTCGGCTCAGAAAGCGACGGAACTGCGGCCAGGGTCTCGGCTCAGAAAACGCCGAAATTGCGGCCAGGGGGGGGTCAAGTTTAATGCCCGAGGGAGATGTGTAAAATTTTCAGGTAACAGCCAGCGCGATCGACTATGTTTTTGCGACGTGACGATTTAGGTTCAGAAAACGCCGAAATTGCGGCCAGGGGGAGTCAAAGTTGAATGCCCTGTGTAATTTTTTTAAGATAGTAGCGCGATCAACTATGGTTTACAAGTGTACGCGTGGAATGTGGACGGAAAACAGGCGTAGATACGTGCGTGCACGTCCGCGTGTTTGTGAGTGAGGTGCATTTCTACGTGCGCGCTCGTCTGAATGTCCGTGAGCGAGGTGCATGTCATAATAATCCGACTGCCTTGCAAGTCGCGAACTCTGCGTTCATATCTTGGACAGATCCCCGATATAGGTTAAAAAATAGAAATGAAAATGGTAACGAGAGACGGCTGCTACAGTCTTCATCCGGATAGACCGCGTGCCAGACCGCGTGCCTTGTCATCATAGCTGCATTGGGCTCGACTTTCGGCATATTGAGGCAGCTTAGAAATCGTCTTCCCCGGAGGATAACGCACCTGAACATGAACATACACAAGGTATTTGTCCGGCCCGATGTAGTCGAAAGGGACGAGAGTTATTAGATCCCCCCTTACCCCACCGCACCAAGAAGTTATAGATCCCCCTGCGAGAGAAGAATAGAGCTTAGTTTATTGTAAAAGAGAAGGTTATAGGTCCCCCTGCGACAAAAGGTTTGTACTCGTTTGCTCCCGGACCGTGGCAGAAGGTGCGACAGGCCCCCGAAAGCTGGTCACGGACCATGGTGGTGTTAAAAGTTATCGACCACCATCGGACCTAGCTCAGATGGTACAGACCCAAGTGCCGACCGGTAGCTCAGTTGGTACAGATCCAAGTCCGAGTCCAGCTACGATCAAACGAACAACATAAAAAAATAATTATGAATTACCTGGCGCCTCTCAGCTCAATGATCATGCCAAGGCCGTCGCCTTTCGGAAAAAAGACGGAAAAGTTGCGGACCAGTTGCCTGGAGCCATTTGGGTTTTGGGGGCCTCCGAGTAAAAGAGTATAAACCTTGTCTGAATTGATTCCATCTAGGCTGAAGTGTCGCAGCAACGGAGATGCAGGGGATAGCACTCTGTAGTAATCGCTATGAAGGTCGCGTACTGCAACTGGTAATAGAACCAACGTATGCGTACTGTTTTCGAGTCCGAATGTCCCTGGTCCACACAACAGTCCAGATACGTGTCGGATGTTGTCGACTGTCTGAATTGATTCCATGTAGGCTGAAGTGGCACATGAACTCAGCTGTAACTAACCAGCCCACTTACATGTTTTTTGCGGGGCATAAACACTTTGCAGTAAATGCTGCTTATAATGTTCGTGTCATGTCTATTGTGGAGACTACCTAGAGGCTAAACTACCGGAGAGTCATAGAGCCTCTTCAGCTGGTAATAGGACCAATGAATGCTTACTGTTCGATGTCCGAATGCCCCTGGGCCACACTCTTGTCCAGATACGTAGCGGATGTTGAGCAGTGGGGCGACGCCCATGGACTCTTAGCACTTTTCCTCGACTCAGAGGTGGTAATGTTCTTGAGATGTCTATTGAGTACGAATACCCGTGGTCGGTAAAACAGTCCAGATACTTGTTGAATGTGGAGTGGGGCGAGGCCCATAGACGGGCTTGTACGTGGACTGTTCCCTGTCCATCACTCGGTGAATTGGAAAAAAAGAGACGTAGACAAGTGTTCGTGTACGGTGTACGTTTTCCTTTTCTTTCTCTTTTGTCGACTCCGTCTGTGGGTATGTGAATTCGGTCAAGGAAAAGACGGCGTTACCGTCATCGAGGCTTAACACTGATTACGGATGTATATGTGGCATTTGTGCGGTCCAATTCAGTGATGATGAAAAAAGAACACGGACTTAAGTTCCGTGTACGGTTTGCGTTCTTTTTTCGTTATCTTTTGTGTTGTCTCGACTCTGTCTGTGGGTATGTTAAGTTGATCAAGGAGAACCCGTCATCGAGCCTTAACACCGATCACGGATGTGTACGAGGCATTTTTGCGGTCCAATACAGTGATGATGAGAAAAAGAAGACGTAGATAAGTTCGTGTACGGTGTACGTTGTTTTTTTTTCCCTTTCTCTTTGTGTGGACTCTGGCTGTGGGTATGTGATTTGGTCAAGCATAAGAGGGTGTCGTCATCGACGGATGTATATGAGGCGTAAAGTTCGTGTACATTTTTTTCCTGTTTTTTCATTTTTGTCGTTTACTTGGTCTGTGGGTATGTCATCGTATGTGAATATGGTCAACCAGGTCAAGGATAAGAGGGTGTGACCTTCGTCGAGCCATAACGAACAATGATTATGAATGTATGTGAGCCATGTTTGCGGTCCAATACAGTCGTGACGAGGGAGTGTCGTTTTTGGAGAAGACGGTTGTGTCTAACCTCAGTACGTCGACTCTCCTCCTCCCTGTGGAGATTGTCATTACGTCTAGTCACTGTGGCTGTCTTTGGATGAATTTTCAGTCCAGATACAGCGTTAATTTATGTTCCCCATTATATTCTGTTTCTTTCTTTTTTTTAATTCTTTTTGTGTTAGTATCATCGGTCTTTAATTGCATTTCACATCGGCCGGTCCTTCGTTTCCGCCTCGTGGCATTATTTACCAAATGCTGTAGGAAAGAAAT